ACGAACATGAAAAAAGGGTCTCAATTATGTTTGATGAATGATTGAGTTGATTTTGTTAAGAATTTAAACTGTGCATTTTATAATTATCAAAGTTGCAATAAAAAAAATTACTAAATGATAAAACAAAAACTTAAAAAAGATGATTTACTTTAAGCTTGACGAACAATCTAATTGAATTTGTCAAGAATTTCAACAGTGTATCTTACAGTGATCAAAGTTGCAATAAAAAAAATTATCAGATGATTAGATGATTAAATGCAAACATAAAAAAAGGTTCTAATTTACAATTGACGAACAATCTAATTGAATTAGTCAAGAATTCAAACGTGTATCTTGCAGTAATCCAGTGATCAAAGTTGCAATAGAACAAAATTACCAATAACAGTTCAAATTATCATCCTAATTTTTTAAATTAAATTCCTTGACTACTTCTTCTTCTTCTTCTTCTTTCATAAAATTGAAGATTCAATTTATGTTAACTTATGTTAAAAATATAAAAAATCATCTTCGTGTATCGAGTATTTTCAAGATTTTCCTTAAAATACAATTTCATCTACAATTCTGCTAACATCCAAGAAAATTGTGACACACGATTAAAATCAATTTCCAATATATGTAAAAATAAAAAACAGTATAATATAATTACAATTCCAACTTCCAAATTATAGAATAATTTTCCAAAATTTATTAGAACATTCATCTCGATTCACGAAATCTGAATAGTTGTAGTCGTAGTCGTAGTCGATCATGCTGTACGTAATCCTAAGATGAAGAGAACGAACTCAAAGAAAGAGGGGGGTGAGAAACGAAGAAGTGGGAGGGTAGTAATAATAATACTAGTAGTAGTAGTAGTAGTAATAGTAGTAGTAGTAGTATCGAAGTGTCTTATAGAAGTCGATGAGAAGAAGAAGAAGAAGAAGAACAAGAAGAAGAAGAAGAAGAAGAAGAAGGTTGCGACTTGAGCTCTCACTTAGTGGCCGTAGTGTCACGATCGGGACGACTGCATTAGCATATCTCCACGATGCAACGTGTAGAAAGAGAGAGAGAGAGAGAGAGAGAGAGAGAGAGAGAGAGAGCAATGGAAAAAGATTAAGAAAGAAAGACAGAGAGATCTATATATATATAAAATAAAAGAATGAGTGACAAAGAAGAAAACATAGAAAGAAAGAAAGAAAGAAAGAAAAGAAAAAGACAGGTTAGACAAACAGAGAGTGAAAGAAAGAGAAAGAGAAACATTGAACAGGAGTAAGAGCAGAAGCAGCAAACAGCAACCGATCCATCGGTTGCTACGACTGGCATGCATCTTTTGCATGGGTCGTGGCCCCGTGAAAAGGAACCTCTCACATATACGAATCAAAGAAGAAGAAGAAGAAGAAGAAGAAGGCGACGACGACTACGACAACAACAACAACAACGATACAGGAGAAAGGAAAGAAAGAAGAGAACTCACTCAGGACTCTCAGCAGGCCTGCCTGTTACCTGTACGTCGCGTGTTTGCCTACCCGCGTCACGATCAGGATCCTATTTGCATAGCTCCGATGAAGCTGCTACCGTTGTTGTTGCTCCTGTTGCTCTCCTTGGTGTACTCGTACTGGTATTGGTATTGGTATTGGTATTGGTTGGTTAGTTGCTGCTGGTGCTAGTGATACGTTGATTTCTGTTTTTTTTCCTTTTTTGGTCTCTTCTAACTTCTCATACTGTACCATCTCTACTACCCATCGTATTTATACTTTCTTTCCAACGACGATGATCTGATCGGTTTCTGAAAATAGTTGATCACGTTTAGTTGTACGTTTTACAACTTTGTTTCTTTTTTTTTTTTTTTTTTTTTACTTGACTATAATATTCCTAACTATCTAATAAGATTTACTGTCTGTTTGATGGTTGTATTAGTGAATTCATCGATAGGGTTTAGGATTGGTTAACTTCTGTTAAACACTTTTTTATTTTCTTTTTTATACTTTGATAGAATTCGAGACTCTAACTCTGACGATTATCATCCTACTTGATTTTAATTATTATATATATATACATTGAGTATTAAACACGCGATATATTTGAAGTGAGAGATTGTGTTACGAGGCTTGAAAATTCAATGAAAATATTCTCTTTAATTCTATTCACTTTTTTTTTTTTGCTTTCTTTCATAGTGAATTAAAATTTAACTACCGTGGAAAAATAATGAAGACTGACGTAGGTTGTTTTATATATATATATATATATATATATAAAAAAGAAAAGAAAGAGTCATCAACACGATGAGAATCGATCGATCGAATTGTAAAGTTGCAATGTTGCAATGTTGCANTGGTATGTTATTGTTACTTTTACGTGACCAGAAGAAAAAGAAAAAGTACGTGAGAGAGAGAGAGAGAGAGAGAGAGAAAGTACACGTGGTAAAAAAAAAAAAAAAAAAAATAGAGAAACAGGCGTGTCAAATTTTGACAAGTCGCTTAGAAACACGTGACTGTTAATCATTACGCGTGATGTGGTATGTTATTGTTACTTTTACGTGACCAGAAGAAAAAGAAAAAGTACGTGAGAGAGAGAGAGAGAGAGAGAGAGAAAGTACACGTGGTAAAAACTTGAAAGAAAATTACCCCTTTAAACGCAATGTAAAAAAAAAAAAGAAAAAAAAAGGAAAAACGTGTAATAATTTTTTCCACTCTGAAAAATTGTCGTAAAACTTTCACATTTTGCATTCCTTGTAAAATTGTTTTTACATATAATTGTTTCATAGTTTTACACGCAAAAAATCTTTCACGTGATTTTTCCTAACGTTTTTTTTTCTAATAGACCAAACTATCGTTCATCTTAAAAAAAGAAGAAACCAATACAAAAAAAAAATCACACGAGATCTTTTATAGTTCAAGCTTTTTTAAAGTAAAGTAAAATAAATAACGTAACGTATGTTCAAAAGAAAATTGATTATGTTTCAAACCTTAATAGTTTTTCTTTTCTTTTTTTTTTTTTTATCTAAAACAATGTTTATCTTTAATTAAAATCTTCTTATATAAGATTTATTTATTTATATATATTTCAATTAAATAGATTTGTTGACACACGTATTACATCAAATAAACTTCTGAACTTGTTCGAGTTTAAATAAATGGTTAAAAAAAAAGAAAAATTATGTGACAAAAAAAAAAGTTATTATTAAATAAAATAATCTAGTCAGTTTCAAACAAGATTAGTCATTTAATTTAAAGTTCAAGATAAATCACAAAAGAAGGTATTGTCTTATCTTGAAACAGACATAACCTAACAAAAGGAGTAATTGTCTTATCCACTTCGAACAAACCCAACCGTTCAAGTCTTGGAAAGAACAAAAAAGGACATTGTATAAGTCTCGTTTAAATATTCAAAGAAAATCTTTGAAAAACAAAAAAAACATTCCAACAAATAAAAAACAATATTTTGTACAAAAGAAGAGGAATGAGGTTAGGGTGTTTTTGTAGGGGTGGGGGGGGGTGTCGTAGGTTCGATTTAAAAAGTAAAGAAGCAAAGTACGAATAAAAGAAGGGAAGGTGTAAATCTGGGTGGTGGCTTCCGCGACTAAAACCCACCCACAACTACTAGCACCCCACTCATTCTACTAGCCACTCACCCAACCCAACCCAACCCAACCCTTTTCCTATACGATACTCCTCATGTGTGTATGTGTGTTGGTATGGTTCCGTTTCTAACATATAAGTATAAAACCCTGTGAGAGGACATTGTGGTAGTGGTGGTGGACTACTCGGGCGCGGTATCGGTTCCAAGAAAGGCTTATCGGCTCGCGGATATGTTAATGGCGGCCGTGTTTGCCCCTCTCCCTCCCCTTTCGAGATATATTACACCCCGAGCGAAGGTGGTTGGTAAAAGCCGGACCGTACTACTCGTGGGAGAGAAAGAACCTTGTATATGTGTGCAGTGATGATAGTTGTGATGGTGTTTGTTGTTGTTGTTGTTGTTGTTGTTGTTGTTGTGTGGACGCGCGCAATTCTTTGCACTAGGTGGTAGTTGTGTTTTAGCAGCCCTTTTCTCGATCACTGTTGAACTCGCATGCACGCGCAATTAAGAATCACTGTTGGTGTATAAAAGAGACAGAGTAAGAAAGAGGAATGGTTAAGAGCAACAGTATTACGCTTGAAAAGGATAGAAATAAAAAGAATGAGATGGTTAGCACGAAGAAAACGTTCCTTGCCATCTTTCTTTCTTCATCGATGAACACTTATTTAGAGAAAGAGAAAGAGAAAGAGAGATGAGAGATGAGAGAGAACACGAAGGAGACTATTGATGCCAATACTTGATATCTTCAACGTGAGTTCTCCTGGCCTTTGCTCTAGACCTTCATTGAAGTCATCATCCTCTTTCTCTATTTCATCATTTACAAATATTATTTTATTATTTCAATTCAATACAAATATGACCTAAAATTTGGTTAAGTTTTGATCAGATCTTTTCGAATTGAGGAATAATCATAAAGCTTTCAATACTGGAGTATCATTAATCAGATAAACGTCGATATCTTATCGATTCTTTGCAGGACTCTGAGAAAGAGATTACCCATTCTAAAAGTAGTACCAACACATCAGCATCAACAACACTAACCCCTCATTCGAGTTAGTTCCGTAGTAATATACGTAAGAATGATCATTTTGTGTGTGTATTACATGGAGAGGGGATTTCCAAAGGTTTCGAAGGGTGCTGGTGAACCTACAATGAAAGAGAGAGAGAGAGAGAGAGAGAAGAAGATAGAATAGAGGGGAATTGAGTGTAGCGTGGCGAGAAGCCATTAGAGCTTCGGACGTCTAAAGAGACGCATCGTTTTATTTTCCGTCACGTATTTTTGTATGAAATAATTTTGAGAGGTTATGGTTGTTACTAAAGAATCTTACATATCTCATCGTCGACGATTATTTATTTATAAATGTATTTTTATTTTATTATTCAAAATATAATTCGAATTACTATGATTAACGTGGGTGTATTGAAAAATGGTGTTTGTTTATTTTCAGGGGAGGATGAGGATTGGAGCGACTCTGAAAAAACCCCATCGGTGAGCAGCGGCGTCGAGGGTGGTGGATCAGCTGTTTCTAGTCCAGTTGGTGCAGTTAATGTTGAGGAGGATTCTAGTTTACCACCACCACCTAGACTGAATGCTAGTTCTTCCTCATCTAATAGTATAGTCTTTAATTCACTTGCTGACAATATTAGGCAAGGATTAATTGCCTTTAAGGAGAACGATCGAAAACGAATAACTAGTTTCACCGGAGAAGTAAGTATAATTTGACAAATGTACATTACAATTGTGTGACAGTAATTTAAACAATTAATGCTGATCGTCAAAATGATTATTTTGATTTAGATAACGAGAGAAACGCAAAGAGATCGTCAGGTATTGTCAAGATTAACGAGAGAATCGAGTCCTAAGGAAATCGACGATTCGGAATCATCGTCGAGTATAGTTATAGTAAAAGACGAAGAATGTCAACAAAAACCACCGTCTTCCTCATCGACTTCATTGATAAGAAGAAGAGAAGCAAGTGCGAGAAGAGACAGCGAAGATTCTACGAGACGTACGAGTACAACATCGAGTTGTATCGTAGAGGATGCACCACCAGATCCAAAAAAGATGAAACTCGAAGAGGACGTAGCACCAAGACTGAGACTGAATGCTAGTCTAGCGACGGATCCAGCACTTCGGCCTGCTGCCGTAGCAGCGCTTACCGTCAAGCCTGAGAATGCTTCTTCCCCGCCTAATCCCGGCCCACCTTTACCTGCCGGCCTGCAGAATGGTAAATTTATCTTTAGAGATCTCGAAAACTACAAAGAAATCGATATCCTAGTCGATAACACGGTCAAATCCCCTAAAATCTTATCTGCTTAGAAATTTGTTTTTTTTTTTTTCTTTTTCTTTACATCGAAAAGATTCTATTCCTCCTACCTCGGTTATTTCAATTGATTTTTATCAACGTGACACGACTAGATGGCTAAAAGGTGATAATAGTAAAAATTCAAATTGTTATTTCAGCGATTGCATCGGGTCGTTTGTTCGTTCTACCAACCGACGGGAAAGAAACTATCACCGTTGAACCTGCCAGACCGGCTCCCCTCTACTGTCCACCCTGTGGTATTCGTTTTAGTTCGGCCAGCACATTAGAGGCTCATCGTACCTTTTATTGCGCCCATCGACCGCGTTTAGAAGATGATGCTACCAATGACGAAGACGAGGAGAAGTCGAACAAGTTCGAAGTTAGGAAAGCTTATGCTTGTCCGCATTGTTCATACAGTGCTGACAAGAAAGTCTCGTTGAATCGACATATGCGAATGCATTCGGCTTCTCCAGCACCACCTACGATTCCAACGGTACAACCACCATCAGCTACGACAGGAACTACGGCAGGAAACAATTCTACGAACGCATCGAACGGTTCCTTAAACGAGGAAGCTGAAAGATACTGTCGTAACTGTGACATCAGATTTAATTCATTGAAGACATATCGGGCACACAAAACGCATTATTGTAGTACCAGGCACGTTGTCAAAGACGGTGCACCACCCCCACCACCTCCAGTATCAACAGGAGCATCTTCTTCCTCAGCAAAAGCTTCCCCACCTACAAGTTCAAGTCCTGGCGATTCGCCCCCACCTCAGCCATGTTTGGCATTACCAACTAATCCGATTCTAATCGTCCCGTATTCCCTCATACGCGGTGCCAGTGTATTAGCTGCATCGGCACTTCCTGCACCCGACACGGCCTGTTTTCTACTGCCAAATGGATCTTTGCAACCAATGATGAGAGGATTAGCAAGCACAAATACCGTAACCGAACCACCAGCCGTCCTTAGAGCAGCCAACAAACCTACCACGCCTGCATCCCTCGTTGGTTCATCCACATCACCATCTGTATCTACGCCTCTCGATCTCAGTGTTAGAAGATCACCGACAACACATCAGGATGAAAAAGAGAACAGAGTTTCGCCAGCTCCAACCTCGCTTCCCCCACCACCGGGTAGTCCAAGATCGTCTAGAGGTAGTGCCAGTCCAAGAGCAAGGTCTATTAGTACGAATCAAAGCAGCAGTACCGGATCCGCACCACCAACCACCACTCAAACAGAATTAGCTCTTAGATTGACCGAGTTACCACCTCCTCCTGTTCCTGTACCCGTACCTGGTGTTCTCGTTAAACATGGTGTATCTAGGTGAGTATTTCTATTCGATTCAATTTCAAAACAACAAACTATTCAGTCATCAAGATATTCATTGATTGTTGATTTATTTATCAGATGCAAAGAATGCAACATCGTCTTCTGTCGACACGAGAATTTCGTCGCTCACAAGAAACACTATTGTCAAGCAAGGGAAACAACTGTTAGTAATAGTCCACCACCACCTAGCACCCCTTCACCACCATTGGTTCAACTAATCTGTGCAGCATGTGGTATTAAATTCGCTTCCATGGATAATCTCGTAGCTCATCAAGCTTTCTACTGTCCGAAGAGGCCCGAATCGCAAGATCATCATTCTCGGTGCACGAAATGCAAGGTAACTAATCAACCAATTGAAATAATCGAAGAATTTATTGAACAAAAACATCACTAAGAATGTAAATATGATTTTAGGCAATAATAGAAGCAGGTAGTACGCACACTTGTAGTGGGGGACCGACCGGTGGTTGGCGGTGTCCCGTATGCGGTGCTGTCAGTCCAACGGCCGGTGCAGCACAACGTCACATGGATGCTCATCAAGGTGTTAAAGCATTCAGGTGCACGATTTGTCGTTACAAAGGGAATACCTTACGTGGTATGCGAACGCACATAAGAATGCACTTTGAGAAACGTGGCACGGATCTTCAGGTATAGTCAAAACACGCATACACATGCATGTATTGTACAACATGAAAAATTGTGAACCAATCAAACTGTACTTTTACAGGAGGAAAATTACATAACGTGCGTCTTAGATGACGAAGCAGTTTTACCAACCCCAGAACCAGCTGCTGCAACAACACCAGAAGAAATACCAGCTGAGGTTCAAATCAATGGTAAAAGTGAGATCCGTAAAAGTCCTCAGCCTTCTATTTTGCCACCACCACCGCCACCACCACCACCCCCGGCCGCAACAACAGTGACGGCCAGTAAAGTTAAACAGGAACGTGAAGAAAGTCCACCACCCGAGGAAAGTCTCGACCCTAATAAGACTGGTCCACGTTATTGTAGATCGTGCGACATTAGTTTCAATTACTTGAGCACGTTCATAGCGCACAAAAAATTTTATTGTTCGAGTCATGCGGGGGAAGCGAGTAATAACAATAACAACAATAATAATAATAATTCGAGTAGCCATGCTGCTACAACTCCGCCCACTGGTAGAACCGAGGCATCCGTACTTTAGACGTGTTGTTGTTAGTTTCTTTTTTAATTGGACATTTTGACGATGATAAAAACAAAWAACATCTACGATGCTGATGCTGATGCTGATGATGACGACGACGAGTCTGTGTGTTTATTGTTAAACAAACAAATTATATATTAAACTATAAATTAACCGACTTAGTTGACTACCATCATGTGATTTTTTGTCGATCCAGGGAATTTGTTCGTACTTACACGATAAGCCGATTTACAATTGCATCAATATTGTGTACATACAAATACTTATCGGATTCATAAAAAGAAGAAATTTATGCGAACGATAATAATAATAATATTAATAATATTAAAAAAAATATTATAATAATAATAATAACAATAATAATAATAATAATTATAATAATAATAATTAATAATTGAATAAAAGTGTGTGTTTTGCCGTAGATACGATCGATCGTAAATTGTTTTGTCAGAATCGTGTTTATCTCGACGATAATTATTGAATGCAATTTTAATTTAAATGAACAAAATTATTATAAAATCATAAAACGATCGATTATGGCAATGCACTTTGTTTTTTTGGTTTTTTTTTTTTTTTTAAACGTATCATTCTTCTTGTATATAAAAAAATAATTGCAATTTAAACAAGATAATAATAAATATTAAAATATTAATAATTAATAATTATAACAATAATGATAATAATAATATTAATAATAATATTAATAATAATATTAATAATAATAATAATAATAATAATGATAATTGATGCGCTGTGCTTACAATCTTCAGGTGCGAATTCACACGATCGACGATCGACGATTTTTAAAAACTGAGGAAGACAAAAAAGGGAAAAGAAAAAAAATGGGAAGAAAAAGAAAAGAAAAGAAAAAGTTGTGCAATCTCATGACTATTCAAATAATCTCGTAGCATAGTTAATTAAATAATTATCGAGACATACCTAAGGTTAAATAAAAAAAAAAAGAAAAAAAAATTGATGAATACAAGTTGAATGTAAAATGTTGTACAGTAGATAAACGTAGAGTATTATGGTAAACAACAACAACAACAACAAAACAGAATAACAAATATGGTAGAAACGATGATCTTTAAAAATAATTCAAAATATCAATCTCAATTTTTGAATCTAATTAATTTTAACGTCGACGAATTTCAAAGCTCACGTACACGTTCATACAGTATAATTAAGAATAACTGAAAAAAAAAATTCGTATTATTAATTATTTTATTATTATTATTTAAAAAAAAAAAAAAAAGAAAAATATTCAACCATTTCATTAAAGATATTGTTCAATACAAAAATATATAATTTGTTTATTGTACAATGTTGTTTAATTGTTTGTAAGAGACTTTTAAACTACCCCGAATAACAAATTACATTTGTTTAATTGAATTGTAAGATGTGAAATGTGTTAAAACGAGCCATTCAGTTATCCTTAAAATTAAACAATTAAATATATTCAATAATTAATTATTGAATTAATATATATATATATATATACATACATACATATTTTCTGTGTAAACGTGTAAGTGTAAATACGAGAAGGCGCACTCACATTTGTTGGGTAATTTAGTGCATCGATAACCGTTCCAGGAACGTAAAGTGAGTTTGCCAAAAAAAAAAAGCATTATATAATTATTATTTAGAATAATAATTTTCTATTATTTCGAATCTTATTTTTCTTGTCTCCGCACATTTAAACATTACACTATACATTTACATTTACATTACCAATTATTACAATGACATTTATGAATTATTGCGTTATTATTATTATGTATGTATGTATGTGTGTGTTTCATTTGAAATTGTTTTATTTATGAAATTGATTTTTACGTACGATATATTCATACGTATTATTATACACGGAACAGATGCATAAAAAAAACATCTTTTTTGTTTTTTATTTATACAAAAACATGCATATATACTTAAAATCTAAAATAAAAATAAAAAAAGAAAGAAAGAAAGAAAGAAAAGCACCGCGAGGTACTTGTACACAAGTAACACGACTCTCATTGCGAGCGCGTAAATGTAAAGGGAAAAAAAAAAGAAAAAAATTAGAATTAAGATTAATTTACGTGTATACGCAGTACTACCCATATCATACGACGAGTTCATTAAATAATAAAAAAAAAAAAAATAATAATAATAATGATAAAAGACATGAATTTTCTTCGTGCGAAGACATCATCGTGTTGAACAAACAAAGAAACAAAAAAAGAAAACGCGTTCGATAGGATTTTCCAAAATATTCATTAAATTAAATTACTAACGAACCTGTTTGTGATGTGGATTTAGAAAACGAGATTTTATCATTGGCTGTTTAAATATTTTTTGATATTTTCTTGTTTTTTTTTTTTTTTTTAAGCATATTAACACTTTAATGGCCGCACGTGTACGCAGTGAAACGTCGTCAGGTGTTCGGTAATATTTTGTCAAGAATTAATTTAAAAATAAAAAAAACTACTTTGTTGTTATTCACGAAGAAATTGACATAAAACAAAAGACAACAAATTTAATTTTTTATATATAATTAAAAATATATATATATATATATATATATATATATATATATATATAGCCATTGTTTCGACTATCATCACACACATGTTGTGCGAGCGGCCATTAAAGTGTTCAAAATGATGCTATTTTGATCAATTTCAAATTGAATATATTAAATTTATTAATAATAGTTTCGTGAGAGTATTCTTGTTATGTTATTTATTAATAACAATTATTATTATTATTATTAATAATTTCCTATAACGAAGGAAAGAAATCAAAACAACAACAAGAAGAAAAAATGGTCTGAATTTATCATGCATACACAATCTCTCAAATAAAAAAAAAAAAAAGTCACATAGCGGAAGACTTTAAGTTGCTAGGAAGAAAGAAAGAAAGAAAAAAACAAAGAAACCAATTTATAAATCTCTTATCCGGTACTTCCATTGCGTTAATAAAATATTCCTAATTAACATGTGACATAGCGTTATATATCATTCTTTTTTTTTTTTTTTCAATAAGAAAACAAGTTGGAATCTTATTTTCATGTTTTTGTTTAAAAAAAAAAAAAAAAAAAAAAAAAAAAAAAAAAAGAAAAAAAAAGAAAAGAAACATCTTCCTTTTATCTGAAAACTATTTATCGATGGTAGGCTTACTTTATTGTTTTTATTTTGATAGATGAATTTTACACACAAGATATATATATATATATATCTATACATAAATATGTAATAAATATATAATACATACATACGAATAAAATTCTACAACAAACCCTTTACAAATCATAAATTACTATTTTTTTTTTGTTTACAGGTAACTCATCAAAAATCAAACAAATTAAATTAAAGCCTAAGAGGAATTGTTGATTATATAGGATTATATTTGAAATAGAATGTTTCATTTTGATTTTGGTATTTTTATTAACAAAAATAATTCATTTCTTCTATTTCTTTTTTTATTTTTTTTTTTCATTTTGAATGTTATATAACACTATAAATGAAGATAGTCAATGCACACTATTTACTGCACAAATAGGAACAATTGATGCTTGCCAAAGAAACAATATGTATGATAATAATTTGTCTTTATCTTACAAATTTCTCTCTCTCTCTCTCTCTCTTTTTGTTTTTTTTTCTTTTCTGGAATGCCAAACTAAAATATTATTTGTATATTTTTTTAAAAATAATAATAATAATAAAAAAAAAAGACAAAAATGATTCAGTAATTATTTGAAATCATTGTAAATTAAACAATACTGATATTATTGAAATGAAAAAAAAATAAAATAAAATAAAATAAAACAGGTTCTGAGATATAATTCTTTACATGATTTTAAGTATCATGTAAAGATGTACTATTATTGGCTTCATCACCACTTATAGTCTCATCGATATCTTCAAAAGCAAATTGTAATTCATCATTATGTCTGTAATTACCCATAGCAAAATTAGTTTTTGTTCTTGCTTTATACCTTGCATAATCATAACCATATAATTCAACATCCTTTAGATCAATGGTATAAATAATATCATCTATGCTAGAATCTGAATCTAATTCATTGTCATCGTTTATATGACATCTGTGGACATCTTTAGTTAAATAATCTACATCTACATCATCATCATCATCATCATCATTATTATCATAATTATCTTCACCATCTTCACCTTCATTTTCTTCATTTTCTTCATTATCAGTATCAGGATAATCATTCCATCTTGATTCAGAATTGGAATCAGATGAATACTCTGGTTCATCATTTTCTTCAATATCATAAACCAATTCTTCTTCAATACCTTGGAGGTATACTAAAACATCATCGTCTATATTAATCGTACCATGTTCAGTATAATACAAGTCGTATACATAATTGTTAACCTAAAATATAAATCAAATATATATACAGTGAATAATTTTCAAAGTAAATAATCATGTTAAATGCAAATGGTATTACTTACTGCTTCTGAATCATTTTCATCAACAGCAACAGAAGAACACTCACAGGAACACGGTGTAGAATCTTCAATGTCTATTACAGTCATATTATTTTCTGATTCATCTGCATTAGATTCATTCTTTGAACGATAATAACTAACTATCTTGTATCTATTTTGAATAGAATTATTTGCAATTTGTGTGCGTAGCATATTTTTAACATCGACCAAGTGTTTTTTGAAATTTTCTTTCAATTCAATTCTTTTAACTGCTTGTGCCATACGTTTGAATGAATCTTCATCCTATTTTTTAAATAATATTATTATTTTTTTTTCATTATTCTATAGATGCACATACACACACACAGAGACACACAGTGGTGCATGTTTTTCAAACAAAAGCATAACCTTAATTATAAAACTTACATGTTCTGTGATTGTTCCAGCAAATTTGACAACTGCGGTTACCGGTTCGTCGTTGCTTGCACTTTCGGCTTCTTCATTTTCAGTAGTTTTACTTTTTTTACATGCAATAAGTAAAACATTCGATGGTTCTTCATCGTGTCTTCGTTTTACACGGAAATACGAAGCCATTTTTAGAAGTATTGTGTTTTAGACTGAACACTGTGTGCCGGTTGGAAGTAACGCGTGATGACTGCAGCGACAGGTGCGGACAAAATATGAACTACAAGTCGAATAATGGATAAGTCGATTATCGAGCTATCATATCGATAAAAATACATTTGTTTATTGAATCTCTCGTATTATTTCGTTTTCAATTTAATTAATAATTATGCAATGTTTATTTTAATGTAAAAATTGGTTTTTTTTTATTAATTATCAATTAGAAAATATTTATATTTATTTGTTGTTAAGATAAACACTGATATAATAACTACGAAAATCAATGGAGAGAGAGAGAGAGAGAAAGTTCGATTTTATTTTAAATCAAATTGACTACTGTACAATTATTGTTGAAATAATTATAAATTAATATTGAAAATAATCATTTGATAATATTTTACGTTAAAGTATTTTCATTTAACATCTATCGATAATATATCGATAATTGAAAAGATCAAATAATTGTAAAAATTACAACGAGATAAAACAGCATTTTTTTTTTATAATAGTTGTACGAAATTTGTCTCATTAGTAATTTTTTATTTTAATTATAATAATATTTTAATGATAAATGATAAAATTATTATTACACATGTAAATTTATGAACTAAGATGTAAAATGAATATTTTTCAATTACCCAAAGTATTAAAATGAAAATATGCAAATGGATACCGGACCTATCTTAGCATTACAATAAAGCTGACTCATTGAAAACCCAAGAATTATGTTAAATGCATATACATAAACAACTCGTACATGTAATTATAGCTTTCTATTGAATAGATCAATCTTATCAGAAGAATTATTACAATATGTTCATTCTTAAAATACTCTATTCTTGATAAATGAACAAATGTTAAGTAAGAGCAAATTGTTTATTTAAATCCGTAAATGCCAAATATCATCTTAGAATACACAAAGAATGTAAATGTTTTTTTTTGTTTTTTTTTTTTTAGAAAAAAAAAAATAAGCAGCTTAATTAAAATGGTAAATATAACCACCCACTCATAAGTTAATAGCATATAACAAGTTTTAAACTCATTGTCAATGCGAAAGGTAGAAAGGAAAGATGTCCTTCAACGAAAACATCCTAACGTCTCTACAGTGTTTTTCAAATAAAATTATAATTCAATCAATTTGTTTCTTTTCTTTTCTTTCTTCTTTTTAATATTCTCACAAAGTATCGAAAATTCCACAAGAATTATTTCTAAAAATAACGATGCTCTAAACCTGATGAAACTGCCTGTGGTATTTGCGGTTTAACCAAAAATGGTCGATATCATAAGTGAATATATTTTCAGATTGATCATGAATATATAAATAATGATTTTAAAAACACCTTATAGGATATTTGGAATGCTGTAAACCAGTTTGTGAGTCTTTTTATTGTATGTCTTCTATTTAAAGAAATGCGAACGAAGAGGAATAAGCATTCTCTGTTCTGCGATCACAACTTGACGACACGAGCGTGACATGAATCAAACGTGTTAGCTTTGGGAAACTCCATGAAGATCGATGACGTATCCTGTGATCCCAGTTGTTTAGCGCCAGTCTTACCGATTACATTACGAAGTGTTCTACGTGTACTATTGGTAAGAATGAAATAATAATTATTCATTGCCACCCACATGTTATCGTCGATTTACGTTGACTCCGATGATCGTATCGCTAAACTCCAATCCTTTCACTATGAGTATCATCCTTATATATATACAAGTTTCCAAACAGGATGTCTTCAGTAATGATTCTACCATTGTCTTGTATACTTTGCAGTTATTCTTAGACGATAAACGATTGAAATAATAATATGACGGACAATATTTATTTAAGATGTTCTATCATTGTTTTATTATGTGCTACAACTTTTGCTACAGCAGGTACGTGCACTTTGTTTCATTTTTTCATTCATTATTGATATCAATTATATTTTCTAATGATTGATTTTCTTTTTTTTTTTTTAGGAGGATTTGGATCCTTTGCAGGGAGTAGTTCTTCAGCATTCAGTATGTTGCATTGATATTTATTTCATTCTCAAATTTAATTTCGTATTTATTCGTATTTATTTTAGGTAGTGCATCGAGTAATGCACAAGCAACAGGATCTGTCGCAAGTGCAATAAGTTCTGCGAATGCATTTACCGGTGGTGCATTTCCTTCGAAAAATCCAGACGGTACGAGTCATGGATTAACTCATCAGCAAGGTATTTCTGTTGGTTCTGGAAGCTTTGTAGGAATTCATCCGGGTTCTGATAAGTTTGGATTGAATCATCAAGGTTCTAGTGGAGTTAAAGGAGCTCACAATAATCATAAATCTCAGTCACCTTGCTCTCAATGTGCACATACCAAAGAAAAATGGGATTACGATAATTATGATGAACAACCTGAAGAAAAGGATGAGGAAACACATGGAGAAGACGATGATTGCGATGATGGTCAATACAGACCTGAACATCATTATAAACATGACAATAGTGGAGATGGTAAGGAACATGAAGAAGAGACAGTACCGGGTGTATATAAAGTAGGAAACACCGATCAATACGATTACGATCAAGAAAATGATAAAGGTGCATACACACCGGGTGGTAACAAAGGACAGGGTAACAACAATTATGGTAACACTGGATTAACTGGAGCTAATAATCAAAATTCAAATAATAATAATGGTGATTATCAACATAGTACGAAGTATCCATTTGCACATCCAAATGCAGGTGCATCGAAAGATTTTTCACATCTTACAATAAACCCGAGTGATTTCCATAAGAAGAAAGAGAATGATAATAAGAATGTAGGCACTCCTGGAGTTGTTGCACCTACTTTGGGTGCTGGTGGTAATTATGGAAATGCGAATAAAGGTCCATTTGGTAGTCCAACACCAAGTCAAACGAATTTGGGAAGCGTAGGTGGTACTAATGGTGGTTGTTCTAAGAGTGGATCTGGAGGAGGATGTTCAACAAGTGAGACTGACTCTAATTTACATCAAGGTCCTGTAAAAATTGGTCAGACACAGTTACCACAAGGCAGTGTTGCACCCAGTTTCAACACTGGAGAAAATAAAGGTACTCCGGGATGTAAGAGTTTGGATGGAAATTGTGGTATTGGTAAAATAGATGGAACAGGACAATACCAATCAACATCTGTAGGAAGTGGACAGAATTTACAGAGTGGATACAATGGTGGTTTAAATGCAGGGAATAAACCACAGTCGTATGATCAACAGCATACAGGGCAACCGAATAAAGGTAATTTACCAAGTGGACCGGGAAGTAATGTAGGTGTAGGATCTGGTTGTGGTTTCGGATCGACTTCCTCTGGTTGTTCAAAAGAAGGAACACCTTTGCAAAAGAACACACCAATTCCTAGTCAAACGTATGGAATTGGAGGTAGTGGACCTAGTTCTGTAGGCGTTGGAAGCAAACCGATTCCAACACAAGTATATGGAAGTGGATCTGGTAACGTTGCTGTTGGAAGCACACCTTTTCCTACTCAAACTCATGGAACTTTCGGTAGTGGATCTGGTAATGTTGGTGTGGGAAGCAAACCTTTTCCTACTCAAACCCATGGAACTTTCGGTAGTGGGTCTGGTAACATTGGTTTTGGAAATAAACCAAATACATACGATCAACAACACACAGGATTACTGAATAAAGGTAATTTACCAAGTGGACCCGGTGGTAACATAGGTAGTGGATCTGGTTGTGGTTCTGGATCATCTTCTTTTGGTTGCTCAGATAAAGGAACACCTTTGCAAAAGAACACACCAATTCCTAGTCAAACGTATGGAGTTGGAGGTAGTGGAACTGGTCACCTAGGTGTTGGAAGCAAACCGATTCCAACACAAGTATATGGTAGTGGATCTGGTAATGTTGGTGTTGGAAGCACATCTTTTCCTACTCAGACTCATGGAACTTTCGGTAGTGGATCTGGTAACATTGGTTTTGGAAATAAACCAAATACATACGATCAACAACATACAGGATTACCGAATAAAGCTAATTTACCAAGTGGACCCGGAGGAAATGTAGGTGCAGGATCTGCTTGTGGTTCTGGATCATCTTCTTCTGGTTGTTCAGATGAAGGAACACCTTTGCAGAAGAACACACCAATTCCTAGTCAAACGTATGGAGTTGGAAATAGTGGAACTGGTCACGTAGGTGTTGGAAAGAAACCGATACCAACACAATTATACGGAACTGGATCTGGTAACGTTGGTGTTGGAAGCACATCTTTTCCTACTCAGACTCATGGAACTTTCGGTAGTGGATCTGGTAACATTGGCTTTGGTAATAAACCAAATTCATACGATCAACAACATACAGGATTACCAAATGCAGGTAATTTACCAAGTGGACCTTCTGGTACCAGTGGTGTAGGATCTGGTTGTGGCTCTGGATCACCTTCTTCTGGTTGCTCAAATGAAGGAACACCTTTGCAAAAGAACACTCCAATTCCTAGTCAAACGTATGGAACTGCAGGAAGTGGACCAGGTTATGTAGGCGTTGGAAGCACACTTTCTCCTACTCAAACGCATGGAACTTTTGGTAGTGGATCTGGTAACATTGGTTTTGGAAATAAACCAAATACATACGATCAACAACATGCAGGGTTACCGAATAAAGGTAATTTACCAAGTGGACCCGGAGGTAACGTAGGTGGTGGATCTGGTTGTGGTTCTGGATCATCTTCTTCTGGCTGCTCAAATGAAGGAACACCTTTGCAAAAGAATACGCCAATTCCTAGTCAAACGTATGGAGTTGGAGGTAGTGGAACCGGTCACCTAGGTGTTGCAAGCAAACCGATTCCAACACAAGTACATGGAAGTGGATCTGGTAACGTTGGTGTTGGAAGCACACCTTTTCCTACTCAAACTCATGGAACTTTCGGTAGTGGGTCTGGTAATGCTGGTTTTGGAAATAAACCACATTCGTATGATCAACAACATACAGGCATACCGAATGCAGGTAATTTGCCAAGTGGACCCGGAGGTAACGTAGGTGGTGGATCTGGTTGTGGCTCTGGATCACCTTCTTCTGGTTGCTCAAATGAAGGAACACCTTTGCAAAAAAATATACCAATACCCAGTCAAACGTATGGATCAACAGGCAGTGGACCCGTTGGAAAAAAACCGATACCAACACAATTATATGGAAGTGGATCTGGTAATGTTGGTGTTGGAAGCACACTTTCCCCTACTCAAACTCATGGAACTTTCGGTAGTGGGTCTGGTAACGTTGATTTAGGAAATAAACCCCATTCATATGATCAACATAATATAGGACAACCCAATAAAGGTAATGTGCCTAGTGGACCTTCTGGTACCGTTGGTGTAGGATCTGGTAGCACATCTGGTGAATCTTCTGCTCCTTGTAATGATGATGGAACACCTTTACAAAAGAACATACCTATTTCTTCTCAAGCATTTGGATCAGCTAGTAGTGGAAGTGGACAATCTGCTTTTGGGAATCCAAATTCTTATCAATTTAATACAGGAAACCCTTTCCTATATGGTGGACAACCTAATTCCAAACCAAACATTTATCCAACTAGTTCACCACCTTTCTCAAATAGTCTCAGCACCACTGTTAAACCAATCGGCCATGGAAATCCTTTTCTAGATGGCACCATAACCAACACATTCGGATCCCAACATGTTACTCCCCTTGGAGTAACTCCAATTCAAAATAATGTGCCAAATAAGCCTATTGGTGCTGGTAATCCATTTTTATCAAGCGGAGGTGCAGGTAGTTCGACATTTGGTACCGCAATCCATCCTGGTATTAATATAGAAAACAATTCACCATCAACTGTTAGACCAATCGGACAAAACAATCCATTTTTTGGAACTCCAAGTGGAAATTCAGTAAATAAATACCCTAGTGGAGTTGATAGCAACAAAAATACACCTTTCGGAAGTGGAACATCTAATCCTTCTTCTTCGAATGATCAAAATTCAAATGTGCAATTTCCAAAATCGAAACAAACGTCAGGAATACCAGGAGTAATAGGAATCTCATCTTCCGGAACCTATCCAAATACAAATCAAGGTGTTAAGGGTGGCCCACATCATAACCCAACATCTGGAAGTGTTGGAACGAGTAGTGCAGGAGCTTCCAGTTCTGGATTCAACACACCTAATTCATACAATAATAATGGTGGTCATGGTACAGGCTCGTTGATAGGAACCGCTAATATTAAAAAACCTTCATACACCCTTTTAAATTCACCTAACTCTGCAAATGACAATGGAAATAATCCAAATGGTCAATTTAATCATCAAATAGCAAATGCCGGAGCTCAATCATTCGCAGGTGCTAGTGCAGGTGCCAGTGCAGGAAGTTACGCTGGTTCTTTCAGCAGTTCTCAAGCATCCAGTTCGAGTTCCAGTTTTGCTAGCAGTAAATCTGGGTCGTATGCAATTAACGGAGGTTTGCTATTTTTATATAATTTTTCATTTATATTAAACAATTATTATCATATTTCTTATAATTTTCATTCGTATTTTACAGATCCGAATATTTTACATCAACTGAACGGAAATTGGCCGATCAACGCGGCTAAAAGTTTGGATGAAATAATCAATCCTGGATGGCCATCTTCAAATGCAGGATCCCAAGCTTCTGCATTTGCTAGCAGCAGCGCAGGAAGTTTGTATTTTTAAAATTATTTATTAATTAACAATATATTTTCTTGATTGCACATTAATTTTTGTTTTTTTTTTAGGTTGGTCGGGACCTCAACCATTCGGTGTTAAAAGTAGATAAATCAAATATAAAAACATACAAATGTGATGGAAACAAAAAAATTGCAACTTTAAAGAGTATACTATTATCGTCTAGGTGGAAGTGGTTAGATTTTAATTAGTTTAAGCAAAAAAGAACAAGAGATGTAACGCTTGAAAATATTACTAAATATATTTACAATTATTTTCAATTATTGTTTGAAAAATACTATAGTTATTTTCGCACAGATATTTCATTAATCACGTTTATCAATACTTACTTTTAACCTCAAAATTATTATTTTTCCAATTTTATTACTACCAACTTTGATATGAAAAAGAAACTGATTTCATTGCATTACCAATAGATTAAACAATTGTTGTATTACAGTTGTATGACCTAAATTTCGGGAAAAAACCTCACTACTTTTCGGAAAAAAACCGTATTTTACAATTAGGATTATATTGATCGTTTCTAAATAATTAATTTGGTTTATTACTTACCCATTTTGAAGATGAACGATTTGTTATTGAACAAATGATATTATTAAAATCATAATATTGTTTTAAAGAAATGATATATAAAACAAAACAAAAATATATATATATATATATTACAATCGTATATACTTTAGGCGTTTAAAGGTATATTTCACAAATCGTATTTTCCTTTTACATGGTTGCTGATATTCTAACAGAAACAGAATTTGTAAAAACCTCGGAAAAACGATGGGTAGAAATATATATAATATAACACAATATTGCAAAGAGCTTTTTTAAGCCCTTATTATTATTATTTTTTTTTTACACGGTGTGCATTTCACGTGAGACTATCGATTAAAAATTGTTATTCGATAAAATAGAACCTTCTTCCCAAATAGAAAGGATTTTACATCCAACAAACATTTTTGACCATTTCTTTATAGTGTAATCTTTCTGCTTGTTCATTTTTCTTTTTTTTTTTTTTTTCATTTTGCTTCTCTTTTGTCAAATTTCTTTCCCTTACACATTTTCTCGATCTTCTTATCATTTTTATCTTTTTTTTTTTATTTTTTTTAAATGTTTCTTTTATCTCGTGCTCGACACTTGTCTCCTTCTTTTGTTATCTACATTTACAACTATTCAGTACATAGAAGAGACAACGTTTGCGCACCACCTGTAAATATACATATCTTTATTTATTTTATTTTATTTATTTATTTATTTATTTATTTATTTATTTATTTAATCTTAACGTGTAAACAATTTGACAATGTGCTTTTAACAAATGCGTTCTCTTTATTTATTTATTTATTTAATTTTTTTAATTATTCCTTCCTTTTTAATATTATTTCGTCATCGTCGAGGAGGCCGAGGAATTTTATTTCATTTTTTTTTTTTGCAATCATATTTTCTCGACCTAATTATTATTAAAATTTAATATCACTTAAAAATCATCCCGTAACTTTTACATTTAATTTCAATTAACTGAACACTCTATTATTATTTATTTTTTTGTTTATTTGTTTATAAAATAAAAAGATTGAAAATGAAAATTTTACGATTGATCAAAAAGTGTCAAAGGATTCAAAAAGAAAGATCAAAAATCACCAAATTTTGCGATTGGGTTCGTACAAGTACGAATGCAAGTATGCATGTCGTTATGTATGTATGTATGTATGCATGTATATGTATATATAATATATATATTTATATATTTATATAATATATATATATATGTATATAATAATGTTCTATTAAAACAGAAAGAGTTTTTTTATTTCGTCGAAATAGAGTTCAGAGTTCACTTTGGCAATGAGAGATAGTTTCTACACGTATTTTATCGCGCGATCTTATTTATTTATTTATCTTTTTGTAATATTTTTTTTTATCATTTTTTTTTTCTTTTCATTCATTCATTTATTTTCTCTATAGAATTGAACGATCGATATTAAAAAAGAAAAAAAAAACAAAAAAATCCAACCAATATCGCACATACGTGTATTCAATTTATCGATCGAGGTACTTAGGAGCAAAACGATACGAGTTGGTATAAAAAAAAAAATAAATGTTACTACGAGTATATAATATATAATAATAATAATAATTATAATAATAATTAATAATAAAAATTATAATAATAATTATTATAAACATAATATTAATATTAATAATAATAATAATAATAATAATAATAATAATAATTCGAATAACGATCGTCAGGACGCAGTAGTTCCGGTCAATAATAGCATCAACGACAACGATGATTAATTATTAATTAATAGTCCTTCCTCTTCTTCTTCTCTTTATTATTTATTAATTTTTTTGTTTGTTTGTTTGTTTATTCGTTCCTTTCATTTCATTTGATTTATTTAAAATCCATCATTTTTATCACCATTTGGAATTTTTTTTTTCTTTTAATCAGACAAAACCACATAGTAGATACATACACACGTGTTCAAATCACTGATTCACGCTGGCACGAATTTTATTTCATCTTCATCTTCATCTTCATCTTCATCTTCATCTTCATCTTCTTCATCTTCTTCTTCTTCTTTCTCCTCTTCTTGCTGTTGTTGTTGATATATGTTTTTCTTGTATTTTTTTTTGTGTTTTTTTTTAATAACATTTAAAACCCCTCCCTACGTTCTCCAACGTAGATAATAATTAATTAATTGTTTATAATAATATGAGTAGTTTTTTTTAATAATTATTATTATTATTATCTCAAATTTTCCTTCATCGTCTCTTTCTTTTTTTTTTTTTTTTNCTTGTTTTTTCATTTTCTTTTTTTTTATCATTTTCAAACTTTATTTATTCATTTTATTTCCTCGTATTAATTAATTAATTATATTACAATAATCATTTTGCATCATCTACGTGCGAGAAATAAACAACAACAACAACAACAACAACAACGAAAGATAATAATATTAAAAAAAAGAAAAAAACCCCTTTTTTTTCAAAGTCAGACATTTTTTTTTCTTCTTTCTCGCTTACCTATATTGCACGATTTTTGTCTTTAGTTTTTATTTATTTTTTTTTTTTTTTTTAACTTAAGACAAAGAAGAAAAAGATAAAGAGAGAGGGAGAGAGAGAGAGAGAGAGAGAGAGAGAGAGCACCTCAGGAAAACGAAATAATTTGTCTCTTTTTTGTTAAGTCCAGCAAACGTCATTGTTAAATGCGTCACAAGCTATTATAATAAGAATCATTTTAAAACAAAAGTTACCCCCCAATGTTTAAAGGGTTTAACTAGAGTCTAATTTATCTAGTTGTCATGAAAAGTTTCCTCCCCTTACCCCCATTTAAATCGTAACTCGTAACAACACCTCACAATATTATTCAAGATTAAAGTAAATAAAGTCAGGCCGTTCAGCATGGTTTAAGAAACAAAAGTGTTATGGGGATTACAGTCACAGCACAATTATCATTGCTTTATGGTGTGTGTGTACGAGACGAAAGGGGATGACAACAGGATTCAATTTTTTCTTGAGGACTCGGGGGTGAGGGTTTACATGCACCCATTTACATGAGACGAGGAGAAGACACTTCTTCGACAATTCTTCATCATAGTTCTCGTCCAATTAAAATCGTTTAGATTCATCAACGAAAAAAAAGGTTCCATTTTGTTTTCTTAAAAGGAATACTCGAAGGTAAAGGGAAGAAAAATCGATCACGTTGTTATTCTTTATCTTCGAATTGATATGCATACGAGAGAGTTAATGAGTGTGAGGAGAGAGAGTCCCATCAAAGTCCGATTGTTCATCATTTTAGTTGTTTAGAACAATTGGGATGATTATTTAAGTACACGCGTGTCGCGTACAGCACTAGGACGCCACTAGGACGTCGAACCGTACCAACTGTTCGCCGTAGCTTTGTTAGAAGGATGATAGATATGAAAGCCAGCTGCTGCAGCTGCCGCAGCTGCAGCTGGGTGATGATAAAACTGTGCTTGTTCTCCGAGACCAGCAGAGGCGTACGCTGCCGCAGCATCGAGGGCACTCGGGTGAACGGTAGCCGAGTAGACTTGTGGTTTCAAAGGTAAAGGTTGAGCGGGTTCGTATTGATGACGCAACACGGGTTCCCCATAAGCCGATGAGGTGTCGTACGAGCTGATCACGTTGACTGGGTGAAGTTGTTGCTGCTGTTGCTGTTGTTGCTGTTGTTGTTGTTGCTGCGGTTGCTGTTGGTGATGATGGTGATGATGATGTTGTTGCTGTTGTTGCTTATCACGAGGTGATACGGATGACGGGGGCGTCATGGCTGAATGATAATCAACCGCATAACCACCTGCCGTCGAATAGGACGATACTAAACTCGTGAAAGCATCGGTTCCGCAACTATTACCACCGGTAGAAGCCTTTTGATTGTGTGTCGTTAAAACGAACTGATGTTCTCCATAGGTACTTGAACCTTCGGAACCTGGAGGTGTCGGTAATGGACCATTCTGTCCAGTCTCACTGGCATAATAAGATCCACCTGACGAAGGTGTCCTCGCACCACCAGCTGAAGTTATCCCATGAACGTTAGCACGTATGACGCTTTCTCGATTCGCGTATAGTTGCCTTAAAAGTGCGGAAGCTGGTAAAGGTGCGGTCGCCGATTGTTGAGGACTCAAATGACCAAGATGATGATGAGCACCTATCCACTGTATCGTACTTCTCTGTTGCTGTTGCTTCAACAACGCATCCGTACTAAAATCTGTAGGTTGATGAAGACTCGGAGAATTGGATTTATTCAATGCAGTACCAGGTAAATGCTTTGACATTGCTTGTTCCAAATCTTTCACCGATGTCCCAGCAGTTGTACCAACACCACCAACGCTTCCAGGACCAGTATCAGTCCCGACATTGTTCTGACTACCTGGATTACTATTACCACCAACACCACCAACGCTTTCAACGACATCAGCCGTCCCAGACCTAGCTGTTGCATCACCACTTCGTCTTGATTTAGGACTCGTCGCACACAATACTTGCTCGCTAGTTGAAATCGAATTATTCGAAGGTGTCGGACTCAAAGGATTGTTCCTCTCATTGCTAGCCACTTTTTCAGTAACTTCTTCCTCCTCATCCTCCTCATTCGAACTACTTTCCTCCTCATGTAACTTTCGTTTATGTCGACGCAACTTGACCACCAATGTGCTGATATTCCCTATCGCTGCTTGCGGTTCCTGTTGCAACTGAGACATACTGTCGTGATGCCTGTTCCCTCTCTTCTCACTCTCGGAACCCCTGGTGTCCTCTCGATCTTCTGGCGGAGAACGATGAGGATGTTCTTGATGCTGATTTGTCGGACCTCCGCGACTCCGTCCTTCTGAAATTATACGGGATGATCTCTTTTCTATTTTTTAAGGTTAAGTTCTTAATTTTTTTGATTTAAGTTTAACCCTTTCGTTACTATTGCAAGCTTCAATGGGAATATCGTTTCATAGAAACTGTTTTCTGACTCCTTTATGGGGTCAGTGAGATCTTTTGTGACAAAAGGGTTAAGTAACTTTGATGTTTATTTTTTATTACTTTTTCTTACGTTACACGATATCAATTTTTCTAACATCTAATTGTTCGTGTGTATGTTTTTTTTTTTTTTTTTAATATTGAAAATTAATAATTAATTGTACGTATGTGTCGATTAATTTTTTTGACATGAGATACTCTATTAATTTCTCTCACGTGGATAATATCGAAAACACACGTGAATATCATATATTTTTTTTTTTTTTTTGATTGAATGAATTTAAGTGTCTTCGAGTTAATAACAGTTTCTTTTATTTTTGTAATTTGTTTGCCATGAAATTATTATGCTTACGAGAATCGAAAGATGAGGTAGAGAGAGAGAGAGAGAGAGTAAAAGACTTGTAAACGTAGTGTGATATAAATAATATATATATATGTATATATTTTAAACACGGGCGAGCACCTTACAGGCGTTTCACGTGTGTTTCCGGATCGTTCGGAAGATCAGGACGACGGAGGTACCGTTGCATTCTAATTTTGACCATTATCAGACATTTCCTGCAAAGGAACAAAAGTTCGTTAGGGAATGTAACTTCGATAATTTGCTAATTTTAAACACGAATTTATTTTTAAATAAAACCAAAAAACAAGAACTAGAGCTAAGTTTTTATCTATCATACTCTTTGTCCCAGCGCTAAGAAATGTCACTAAAAAATTAACGGTTTTTTTTTTACCTGTCAATAATTAATATTAATTTTTTCAACGTACACGTGGTTAATGGCGTGGTGAAAAAGTTTTAAACCAAATTCTCGTAGTACACATTTGTATGATAAATTTTGAATTGGAATAAAAAAAAAAGAAAGAAGAAGAAAATCTGAGCCTGTCTTTTCTAACGAACGATCAATTTTGAAGAATTCGATTTTGGAAGACAACAAACACAAATATACCTCCTCTGTCGGCATCAGGTGAACCATTTTCTGGATCATTTCCTGTCGCATCCTCTCGTTTAACACCAGTAACGCCATCTTCCAGTTGACAACAATCCATTATTAAGTTCTCGTATTCACGACCACTGCAAATAACAACAATTTATAGGACACACGTTTAATTTGTTATTTGTTTCATTGATTAATATTAATTATACATACCTTATTACATAATTAACACAAATGATGTTTTGTTCTTCAGCATTTTTCGAATTGCAAACTACAGTCGCACATGTTTGCAACCACGTGTAACCACCACTTTTGTTCATTAATCGATAATAATGCGTCAACACTTGTCCTTTGTGGATTACTACAAAAAATAAATCATAAGAATATAATAATAATTCTATAAATAATAATTATGGAAAAATAAAATTGTTAACTCACGATCTATGTGTGATTTTCTAAGACGATTCGCATCTTCACCATGACACAGGGTATATAAATTTTTACCCGTTAATTCATCGGCTGTATAATCCAATAATTCAGATACCCTGCAATTCAAACATCAATAAATCTTTTTATTTATTAATTATTTAACAGATGATTACAACTACACAGAAAATTGGACAACATCATAAGCCATTTTCTAACCTCTACATATTATACATAAATTGAATTATTTATTTATTAATTATTATTTTATCGAAATATGCAACCTTTTATACCCATTGATAATAATGTTAGTCAGCACCATCTATTGAGAAGAAAATTAATTGCCAATTCTTATAGGTAACACGATATTTTCTAATATAACGACGATTGCTTCTTGTAGTAACACAAAACTACTAACAGATGGCATCAGTAAGCAATTTAATCAATGGCGTGTAAAGGGTTGAATATTTTAATATCCAACAAAAGCTCATCTGCATAAAATCTAAATAATTAAGACCGAATAAATAAATATAAAGGATTCATAATAATCCAATTAAGTCAGACAACAAACTAATCAATCAAATATTCTATCAGCATGAAAATATAATATTGTTCGAGAGGTACTTGGTATTCCATTAAAAAAATATAGAACATCAGGTAACTTACTTTGGTTCGCAATGTGCTATCCGAAAGTCAAAATTGATACGAGTGACAAACATGTCAGTCTCCAATCGGATTTCGTGTACACTCGGTGGCGGAAGTGCAATAGCCAAACCGACCATACCCATCAATGGCGGTGCTGTTTTTCTCGTATGACTAAACGTGTACTGTGGTCTCAAACGACACAACAGTAGGACGACCTATATTTCATAAAATACAATTACCAATAAAACAAAACCAATTATTTCTAAACATTTCAACTTACCCTATAACCCGAAGATTTAAAATGGCAACCCCTTTTCGTTAACGAGGATTTCATTCTCACGCAAAATGCACGATCATAACCCTTGTAAAGACCACTAGCTGATAACGACATCAAAGAAGACACTGTAAAAACATTAATCAAAAACAAATGATTATTATTGAACAATAATAAATAATTCATTTAAACAACGTACCGTCAGGATTAGCTGTAGAGGATGAGCCATGTTCTTCCGAAGCCGCACTACTCGGAGAAGCAAGACCGGAACTAGAGGAATGTGGACCGGAAGAGGTAGCGGACGATGCCAATCCCAATCCCAATTGTTCAGCGACCTCGGCGTGGTCTTGCTGATGCACGTAATCGAAAACGCTAGATCCCGTCATTTCTACCTGAAATTCACATATTATTTTGATTAACCTTACGCAAATATAATAATAAAAACTAATCACACACGTTTAGGTTAGATTAACATATTGATTTATATACACATATAACATACTTCCTCGAATTACTATACCTCCTATATACATACATAGAAGTATGGACACATAGAAAAACAGATAGAGAAAGAGTGTTGTACATATATACACATACATAGACAAGACTTTATTTGTATTCTATAAACGAAGTTGAATGATGACGCGCGTAAGCCCAACGTCTGTGTCGGTCACGCTTCTTTTCTTGGTATTAAAATGTACGTAAGTACGACGAGGTACGATAAGTGCATCGGAAAAACGAATAACAGTTTGTTCGTTCGTTGTTTCATTCTAAGGTTGTTTCTAAGGTTCCTAGTCTTCTCATACTCGGCCATTTTTGATAACCCCATTTAACAAAGACTATATATATATAGAAAGAGTTGATCTGAAGCTAGAAAGAAAAAGAAAGAGTTTGCAGAGCGCAGCTGTGTCCTGGTATCACGTTCGATGAACCACCCTTGAAATAGAGCCGTCTTACATTTTGGTAGACACCGTGGCTAGTTTTCTGCTAGAAAAAGGAAGTAAAATGACAGAATGAAAGAAAGAAAGAAAGAAAGGAAAAAAAAACAGTTGAAAGACATAAAGAAAGGTTCGGTCTTGATGGCGGCAGCCATGTTTCTAGCTGCCACCGGTTTCCCGAATCCTCGAAACACCCTATTGATTGCTCCGCGAGAGTCTCTCGTAGAATCGAGCTGGTACACCGGTCACCTCCCTCACCTACCCCCGCCATATCCCTCTTTCTCGCCTTCCACCTCCACCTCCTCTTCCTTCTCTTTACTTCTCTCTCTCTCTCTCTCTCGGAATGGCTCCCTCTTGCTGCTGCTGCTGCTGCTGCTGCCTCTGCTGCTGCTGCTGCTGCTGCTCTCTAACTCTCTCTCTCTCTCTCTCTTTCTCTCTCTCTGTGTTCCCCATCCACTCTACTACTACCTTCACGAGCTCGGAGCATTAGGAATGGCGAACACGCCGCCGTGCAGAGGCTACGTGAGCCGCATGCGACCACCTCCACCTCCATCCACCCATCCTTCCCTCGTCTATATCATGCCTGGTGCCAACCAGTATGGCCGCCAACTCATACAACCTTCTCCTCTTTTCCCCCTTGACCTCTCTCCTCCTTATCCTTTTCTTCCACGCTATCAACTTTTCTTTCTTTCTTTCTTTCTTTCTTTCTCTTTCTTTCTGTCTGTCTGTCTATCCGTCTTTTTCTTTTTTCCGACAGAGTACTCTTTCCTTCTTATACTTCTTCTTCTTCTTCTATGTTCTACCTTCGTCCTGCAGGTACCATCATTTGCGTGTTTTCCCTCTTTATCCTCCTCCTCCACCACCTACTCCTCTTAGTCCGTCGTCTTTGGCTTTCCTTCGTCACTTCCATGCTACTATTTTTGCCTTTCCGCTAAACCCATGTATGTGTATGGTCCCTCACAGTTTCCTTTACTTTTTTCTTTTGTTTCCTTTTCATTTTATTATTTCGTTGTCTTCTTAACCTACCATTCCTTTTATTCCTTTTTCTTTTTTTTTTTTTTTTACCTCAGTCCTGAATTTTATATTCCTTTCACTTTACCCCCCTTTTTGTTTCATTTTCAAGAGAGAAAGAGTCAAAGAGTGGGAGGTTAGGATGAGTTGCAGTGAAGTTATTTAAAAATCTTTAGGTTGATATATGGTTTAAAGTATTGTTTCTCACCTGAGAAAGACCTAGGTAGATTGAAACGGTCTCAGATATGTACAGGAACCTTCCATCAGCAGCAACCGCCATCGCAAAACCATCCAATGACTATAACGAAACGTTCAAATACATACACACTTATTCCACATATTTATCTAATCTTTTAAGTTTATTATTATGGTTTAGTTCAGTATCTATGATTAACATTTACGTACCTGTAATATATGGGTACCCTGGTGTACCTCAAAATGATCTACAGCTGCGTTTGCTGCCGACCTTACGCGATTTGTACCTAAGAACAATGTTGAATTATCATTTTAGTTAAATACCATTTATTATTCAAATTTAAATACAAATTTTTCATTCTATATAACGTCATTTACTTGTATTATTTTATTATTATTATTCAACTTATTTATTCCGATCAGTTTTTTTTTTATGCTAAATCTGTCGTAGCATTGAGCAATATCAACCGCAGATTTAATTAGATTGTTTTCTATCTGATGAAAACAAAGCAACTGTATAATTTATTGAATTGTTCAATACCTTTGATTTAAAATAGAATGTAACCTAAACAAAATAATACAAACTGTATACCCAAGTGTTCCTATTACTTGACAAAATTGTCAAACATTTGAATCAAAACCAAATTCAGTAACATTGAACACGAAGTATATAAGAACTGTGTGGACTGTTCAATACCTAAACAAAATATCACAAACTGTATTCCCTGTTAGTTGACAGTAATATTGGACACGAAGTATATGAGATTTCAGTTGATATTGAACAAATAAAAAATACATAGACTTAGGTATTGGCTTTATCAAAGATTAATGTTAAAACAGTATTGAATAAATTTTTGTAGATCGATTGACCATAGCGTTGAAAGGTATCTTGAGTTTATTTGGGTTGGTGTGAGTCACAATCTCCACCCTATCCATCCGGTTTAACCATGCCGGCACCAACCGACCAACGACGACCCCTTTTTCGCCTTTCTTCGTCTCCCCTCGTTTAACAAACAAGACGAGCTCCTTCTTACGGTAATAATAATCCTACCCTCCCTGGTTTCCCTTAATGAAAGACTTAGAAGACTCGATCAAACTCGTGCGCGAAACGCTTAATCTGCTAAGTCCATCGGGATGAGGCTTGGTTTCGGTTGGTTTGGCTTGCCCGTCGGACTGACCTAACCTTACTTCGGGCTTTTCCGTCAACAAGTTAATTCCAATATTTCTCTGGCATACATGGACTGTCTGCTAGCATGCATGCATGCCTGCCTGGCTTGCTTAGTGGTGTCTCTAAGATAATCCAACTGAATTTCAACATTGTTCTTCTCGTTATATTTTCAAAAAAATATATATATATATATATCTGTGTCATCACGTGACAAATTTTTATTCTAATTACAATTGAACAATTTGTTAGTTCTTATCGTACCTAGCGTTGAAAAGAAAAATGACCCCAGGTAGACATTTTGTAACGTTTACGGAATAAAAATAGAAATGATTTATATTAATAATATGCTAATATATTTTATACAACAAGTCAAAAAAAAAAAAAAAAGAAAGAAAGCAACAATGTGGAGGGTGAGGGGTAGGGTAGGAGGAGGTGGGGGGAGGGGGAGGGGGTTTACTTTGGTTTAACTCACATTTATCACTTACTAATTTCGAAAGTTAACGCTGGTTATACCGGAATCTACGTGTTCTCGGTCGGACAGCTGACCCCTCCATAAATCTTTCGGCCCGGTTTGTCCCCACACCCCTGCCCCATTCTACGTTATCACAATATTTTGATAAATATCTCATACACGTTCCGTATACTTTTCTCGCCTCGTAACTCGACGATATTTATTTGAAGAAAGTATAGAAAAATATCTAAAAGGACCAAGAGAGGGACTTTTCTATTTTCTTCTAACACAATTTTGTTTCCTATCTCTCCTACCCTCTGAGATCTTTTTTCAGTATATTAAAAGATATTTTATCTCGTACATTCCTTAGATAAATACAAAACACAATATATTCCAATTGAATGAATGAAATATTAAAGAATTACAATAGAATTTTGAATTAAACCCCCCCCCCCCAATTCGTAGAAAGAAAATCAAATCGATAGAAGAACAATTTTGTTATTAGACATTTTTATTGTCCTAAATGTCGTAATAACGCATAAAAAGAAAAAAAAAAAAGAAAAGATTTCGTACGGGGTGTGAGAGAAGTTTAGGAAATTCAGAGGATCACCATAGAAAGGAAAGGTAGAAGGAACATGGGAATGGGGTAGGTGGTGGGACGATAGTAACCGAGAAGAACATAACGTAACGCCGTACCCTCTTTTGTTCGGGCTCCAGGGAGCAGGATTTAATGAAAAATGGCCAAATTTGTTACATTTCCCGGTAGTGATCCTCTATTTCTAGAGGGAATCGGCCAGACTCACATAAGGTCGTACGTGCTAAACGATCATTTGTCTGTCCTCTTCATTCGTCATTCTACCATTTAACACTCGATGCAAACCAATTACAAAATTCATTTCAATTCCTAACGATTGTTTAAGTATATTATCAAATAATTTCATTAGAATTCTTTCATCATGTTTGCACAGATGATAAAAATACTCATTTGTATGTGTTACATGTGTGTATGTTCGTAATGGGTGAATTGAGAATCAAAGAATCAGCATTTGCACCCTCCCATATCTGTTACAATCACAACCCAAGTAAAACAAACGTAACAAAATGGTCGATTAAATCAACTTTAAAATACATAAGTTCCAATCACAATGTCAATATTAATTCATTTTCAATAATCTTTCCAACCCCAAGCATACTTCAATCCCATTACAAATGTACACCATTGCAAATGGAAGACTTAATTACCACATTGAACAGAGGAGACAGTCACGAAAAAGTTCAACGTCACGAAACTAAACAATTTTTTTTTTTCTTACCTTGAAATGAATGTTAAAAGACACAAGTAACAAAAGGGTCGTAGAACAAAAGGTTCGGAGAAAGATGAGGAAGAAACAGAAGAAAAAAAAAAAAAAAAACGAAGAAGCATAAAACTAAATCGGCAGACGTGTCTAGAAATCTTTAACGCATTTTGCTTCGTTAAGTCGAGAGGTCTTTTTTCAACGCTCTGCCACTGACATCCCTAGGTAGGGTGAAAACTCGCGAAGGGAGGATGTTGTACACGGTAAAATTGTACAAGTGTGTGTCATAGTGAGTGAGTGAGTGAGTGAGATAGAAATATATAGAGAGTAAGGCCGCGAACTGGATTTAGTTTGACGAGAAGTTGTGGCAGCGATGCCCGGATGGCGCCTAACTCAATTTCGTTAGTTTAGTTACATTGGCGGCTGGTAACGCGAGGAGCCCAGGCATAGGGGATGCTGTGATTAGATTTCCATGTGGGTAGTGGGTACGCACTACCTAAGCCTTTATACGTACTAGGTACGAGGTTACATACTCTACAACTTCGTCTTTCCAATCCCACCCCCTCCTTCACTCTTCTGTTCTCTTCTCTTCACTTCACTTTCATCCCTTCAACTTATTCTATCCCTCTCTATCTCTTCTTCTTCTTCTTCTTCTCCTTTTGCCACCGCATTTGCCACCTCCAACATCGACCACAAATATTAACTCGACCTACCCTCTTAAAGTACCCCTTCGATCGATCTTTCTATCTCTCTCTCTCTCTCTCTCTCTCTCTCTGATACTCCAGAATTTTCTCTTTACTTTCTTTTTATTTTCTTGACTATTTTCTTTTTTTTTGGGGGGGGGGGGAATTTTGTAATATAACAGAGATTTTATCATAGAAATTATTTATTAGAGTTATTGATGGTTTTTGATTAGTTTCATTTAATTTGATATTTAATAATACAATCAGTGAAAAACTTATTCCAATAAATAATGGGGATGATATTATCAAAAAAAAAACTTTAAATCTAAAATGATTGATAATATAAAGTTTCCCCTAAATTTGTGTTGTCCAAAATAAAAGGGTAATCTTGCGTGAATTGTCGTTGAACCGTACGAAAAAAGGAACAACCAATGCCATAAGCAAGCCAAGTCCAACTAAACCAAGTAAAAGTTAACAGAGCTGGCAGAAAGTTAGCTATAGTAATAGATGCTGTATCGAGATATCCTTTATAAGAAAAGAGTGAGAGTTAGGTAGACACAGAGAGTAAGAGAGGACCCGTTAGAAAATAAGATTCGTAGATACATAGTAATAGAGAATTGTCCGGCGATAATCGAACGATAACATCGGTCTTCGCCTTTCTTCATTTTCGTGGTTCATTTAACGAAAATGGAACTAACCCCCTCCCCCCGCCCCCGCCCCGTCCCAGAACCCCTTCCACTCCCCATGTTAGAAGCAGCTACGTTACTTCAGTTCAGATAAAATTGCACACCGTTCAAATAATACACGAGCCAACAAAAAAAACTCTGTCTTTTTAATCTTTATTTTTTGATTAATCAACGAAAATAGTGAAAGATATTTTCTCCGAGATAACTTGAAAGGAAATAAAAGAAATAATAATAATAATAATAATAAAATGAAAAAGAAAAGAAAAGAAAAAAAAAATATTCAGAACGTTGATTCTAGCTTGTGACACAGAAATCGAGTTAATCGAACGCTTCCCAGAACGATCCCTCGACTGTCAAAGTGTGGCAGACGCGAGACACGTGTCTACTACAAAGACGTGCTACGAAAAAAGAAAGAGTGAGAGAGAGAGAGAGAGAGAGAGAGAGAGAAACTATCGTCTATAACAAAATTATGACGCGGTTGACTTCTTTTCCAAGTCAAGTTCCCATAAGAGAAATTTTCGTAATTCCATCAGTGTATCTCTCTGGTTACTACTAGAGACCCCCGTTAACTTTTAGGTCGTTCGACCTATTCTAGGATCGAAGACTGATCCATCAAAAAATATATCAACGACAGATATAATAAACCTAATCGATTATAAAGTATACGTCAAGAACAATGATAAACTTATGAACATACTGAATCTGTCTGTCACTTCCTCTCTCTCTCTCTTTCTATTTTTATGTTTAAATGAACATTGTGATAACTTTTAGGTAATAGAGTCATACCTTTAACAGTTTTGTTAGGTGGTGGTCCATCACGACTCCATGGGGGATCACCATGACCCGAGAAATCTCGGAGTTTGAGGTAAGAGATGGTAAGCCTTATAATTGAGGCTTTGTCCAATTGCGAGGTAATGGCCGCCGGCAAAGGTAACATCTTTGCTAGCTCGTAGAACTCAAAGTTTTCCTTACCCCGTCTCGATCTTGCTGCATCACGGCTTTTCTCTTTACGCAACTCCAGAATACTGTAATCAGAATGATATATTCTTAATTCAACTGTCTAACAAATCTTTGAACATTTCTATACTTTTATCATCATTTATTTCCCTGCATTAAACCTAAAAAAGATTGTTTGCTAAAGGGATTTTGTTTAAAATCTCTATCGCGTTAATAATTGTTTTGACAGATATCAAAGAATCTGATGAAAATATTCATACAGTTGGTTACTTAACATCTTATTATACTAATCGTTTCTATGGTGTATTAAATTGTCCAATAAATCAATGAGATATTTTCTGAATAAATTGGACAATCTAATAAGGGATATTATAAGTCATATTTTGTTGACGTTTCATGTTAACCATGATGATGAAAATTATTGGAGGAAATGGGTAACGAATAAGAAGAGGCGTGGCTGTTGTACACTTCCAGGGATGTGACGGTGATCTGGCAATACGTTGTAAAGCGGCTACCGCTTAAGCAGCATACATTATTCAAGCGCTATCAAGCCCGTGTTTGCTGACAAGCCAGTGAATGTGGCCGAGTGAATACCACCGTAACGTAACCACGCCCCTCTAGACGGCCCCTTGATACCGATTTTACGTTTTAACTGGCCAATGAACGATCTCTACGTGGACACTATAATGCAATCCTATATCCTATCACAATTGTTCTGTCATTAAAACATTTATTCATATTATTCACAGAAAACAAGTACTACTACTCAATGACTTACTTAAACTTAGATAATTTCTTAAGTTCACGGTACGTTTACTCAGTAAAAGACTAATCCGAGAAAAACTAAAGCGTTGCAATTAAATGTGCCGTTTCAACTTAAGAAGGGTTGAAAACGAGATGGGCATTTTATTAGACCGCTATTGCGCTTAACGACTGTAAAATGACAATCCTTTTCTCTCTCTCTCTCTCTCTCTCTCTCTCTCTTTTACTCTTACCCCCTAATACAGAAAGAAAAGGAAGGGGAACGTGCAAATACCGCCAAGCTGTGGTAACCCATTATTTTCATCTTTGTCGCGGGAGTCAAAGGTCGTAAAAAGTGGAAGAGTCCTTTAGACCTAGGGGTAAGTTTGTTCCTTCGGCGCGAGCCATTGGTTCCGATGTAGTTTTGTTTTTGGATTTTATAAACGCACTCCAAATCCCTCGAGTTTAAAGAAGTAGTAGTAGGACAAGAATCTTTTTCCCCAAAGGGATAATGACAGACAGTTAGTCCCTTTTCTTAAAGTAACCTTAACTCTACCTACCGATCTTAACCGATTTATATCTAAATTTGTTGTAAAACACAAGTCACACTTTACCAAAAATCAACATTTTCGATACTTTTCCCTTAACTTTTTGTTCCTCAACTAGTGCTACTGTTTTATTTATCAAATTTTATCAGAATAACGATCATTGGAAACGGTAGACGGATCAAAGACCGATTACACGAACCACCTTTTCATTGCTGATTGTGCAAAGATAAAAGAATTGGGGGTAGAGGGTGGATTTTCGGGTGGTGGACATAAGAGTAAAAAGACTGTTCTTTCTTTCTTTCATTCGTTCGTACTTTCGTCCCTTCGTTTTCTTACGATCCTTCACGAGTTAGGTCCATCTCCCCAGAGGTACGATACGAGTATAGGCAGAAAGGAACCGTTGCTGCTGTTCTGTTTCGTAGCTGCTGTTTCTATTCCTGTTACTTCTGTTGCTGTGTTGATGTTGATGGTGTATGAGAAAAAGAGATAGATAGATAGATAGAAGAGCATCGTTCGCACGAGCGAGCCCTTCGCACACACTATCTTCTACGAGTTGGTTGGTTGGTTGGTGGTGGCTGCAGACGTGTGAAAATAAAATTACGCCCAACTTTCGGCCAAATTGGTTGAAATTGGGCGGCAGTCGAGCACAAGGCCCTACCGGGAGTCCCTCGGGGTAAAGAAGAGATAGAAGTCTCTCGCGGAACCGATCATTCTCTCTCTCTCTCTCTCTCTACGTTTCTACGTTTTCTTTATTCCTCTTTGGACCCTCCTTCTTTTTCTTTCTCACCCTTCTTACAACCGTTCTTTATTTTTTTTTTCTTTTTTTTTTTTTTTTTAGTACTCTACCCTTCTCGCAAACGTGTTCCAACATCTACTTAGGACTCTTGCTAAGAGATACGATGGGTCAAGGAAACGACATCTACTGTTATACGATGCAAGAGTGTCAAGTGGCTGTCATTAATAATTCTCAATGAAACGATACGAGATTAGAGGTGATGGGGAGGTTCTCTTTCCATGTGGTTTTTCATTTTTACATTTCTATGTTTTTTTTTTTACTTTGATCTCTTATTCCCTGTTTTCCCCCTTCCCCATTTCGTACTTCTTCCACTTTCGATTGGTTTTGCATCGTCCCACTTGTACTTTTGTGAAAGCCGTCTCAGAACTATAAAGGTAAGGAAGAAGAGGTTTAGAAAAGAGGAACATCGAAGCTCGCGGAAATTATAATGCGCATCGTGGCACCGGCTCGTCGACTAATTCAATTAAACAATTCATTTGCCGCTCTGGAGCACCACCTGAGGGCATGTCCCATTCCGTCCGTGCCTCCGTGTGGACGACTTTCTGTGTTAGTCGATATGGAGGAGGCAGAAACGTGAGTTGGAGAAGGACCAAACCTTGCCATACCTTCTCTTCACTTCTCTACACTTCCCCATTCCCACCCCTGATATTCCCTCGAGAGTCGTAGCCTCGCGCTACAATACAATGCTCCTAATGTTACGGGCTCCAGTTTCGACATAATTTTCTTTCGCGGCGGCCCTTTCGGCTATCAGATGCCTAAGCTTTTGTAGCACTTTGACAAAAGGTAACGTCATTTCCGCTGACCGCTCGATAACGAGAGTTACTATATATATATATTGACAGAGAAAATGTACCAATCACCCTTATCATTATTACTAACCCAACCCCCTAAAAAGTAACTTGAATAAACAACCATTTGTGATAAACAATATTAACAAGTTTTAGGTGTTTTCTTGACATAGGAACTTTACCAATCCACCCTTCTTCAACATGACCACAACATGTTTTGAATAGAAGTTAATGTTTGTCATGATTTTGGGTTTGATTTTGTTCACACGTGTAGAAAAATATTAATCATTTTTCCGTTATTTTGGACACACATTTGTTAGGAAACGACAACAACGTTCATCATAACGATCACATATATATCTATATCTATATATATATTTTGATAAACCCGACATATCGAACTGTCCGCACCTATATTTCAAATTCAGCTTTCATTCCGCTTTATGAATAATTCATGATACGTTTCTTCCTTCAAATGGACCAAAGTATGGCCTACGGTTTGATTCATGACACAACGGTTGACGATCGTGTCGAGGCTTAAGAAGTCTCTCTATCAAAGAGAAAACGTAGCCTTCTGCCCGTTACATCGTACGATTGCATAAGTCCGCTTGCAAATCTCCTACATAATTTATTACTTGAATCGAACAGCTAATATAAAAATAAATGCTTCCTTTTTTTTTTTTTCTTTTTAACCCTCTCCCCTCATATTCTATATGTCAATGATTAAACACATAAAAAAATGAGCATTTAGAACACACTGATGGTGGTGGTGGTGGTGGTGGTGAGTTTCCTGTTTTCATTCTTCAACGATTTATAACAAGATTTCCAAGACTAAGATATTATTTTCTTAGAAAACGTAGTAGAATCTGAATGAACTTAACTATTTTTATTTTTTATTTTTTATTTTGGACTATTCAAGAGAATCTACAACATCCGCTGATAAAAATCATCCAGGTATAGAAGGTATATGCTTAGGATATTACCAAGACTGCAACTGAGGAATAGAGGAAGGAAAAAGACGTATGGCTGTTTCTGGACAGAGGAGGAGGAGGAGGAGGAGGAGGAAGGGAGGTAAAAAGATGAAAGAAAGATCGAAAGAGAGAAATAAAAAGAAAAAAAGAAAGAGATAGGGATAGAGTGGAAGGGAAGTTGCTTCTTGATGATGCGCAGATAAGGGAGGGTTTAAAGTCTACGTGATGAGTTTCTCGATGTGTCCGAGCGGAGGTCGAGCCTGAGAACTTTTGGTAAACGCACTAACTCCTTCAAAACGAAACGAACGACGAGTCGCAATTTTCTTTCGAAAGATACCTCTTTTGCATTTAATGACAAATGAAAAAAAGGTCAATCTGTTCAACAAACAAATATATAATGTAGACATTTGTTAGATAGGATTTCATTGATTTCTATTAGTTGCAAATGTTGCAATATTACTTCTTCTTCTTCTTATTCTTAGGACTTTAATAAGGAATAAAGTTTTCCAACAGAAGGTAGCTATCTAAGGCTTGGAAATCAGATGAGCTTAATTCCACCGAGGTATAACTTTTAACCTAATAAGGCAAATGAGATACCTGCTATTTCAATTTGGGTAAAAATCTTTCCCCTAGATTTTCTTGGCCTTCTTTTTCAACCGTTTGATCTTTTACTTCTTCTTCTACTTCTTAAAGAAAAGAAAGAGAGAGAGTCTCATGTTTTTTTTTTTTTTTTTTAGGTGTCACGTTAAATTTTGTATAGAAATTCTTTCTTTGAAAATGATTACCTACCATGAGAAAAAGTCTATTGTACAATACGATATTAAAGGTAGGTGGAAGAGGGGGAAGAGAAGGATCAATGCTATGTGCTCGAAGTTGTTGGGAAGAAAGCAGAGGAGAGGTCTTCCAAGGGTCTCACGTGCACGTCTCGTATCCGGACATTCTCATGTCTTAACTTCCGGGAACGTGAGCCAGGCAACGCACCAACTACCACGGCGACACCTTCTACCAATGGCTTCACTCGTACAGCTAACTGCGGTCACTGATCTTCGGACTCGCCATTCTATCATTCAATGACTACCTTCCTTATTCTATCCATTATCGTTAACATAATCGAACAATAATCTATTTTATTGAATTATTTTACTATTGGATTGAATAGCTTAACAATTGAACCGACTATTGTATTATTCATCGAATTAATTTTCAAATAGTTTGGGTGTTGTT